TTGAGATAATGGATGAGGTTAACAATTTCAATTTAAAATTATTTAAATAACTAGCAGACAGTTTGTCTTCAGTGTTAAATTTTTAATAACGGGATAGTTTCTCTTTATATATTTTGCTAATGCTAAGGCCATTGACTATGCCTGAAAAAGCATAAATTGGCTTGGCGATTTGAGAATATTTAATGTATGTATGTAGATTCCGGTACTGATTAGAATCGATAAGGAACTGAAGAAACTCGACAATGATTGATGCAAGCCCGTGAAGGAGACAATAACTCCTCTATTAACCATAAAATAAAATTAATAAAGTAAAATTTTAATCAGGAAAAACTGACAAAACAATTTATTAATCTTGAATCTATAATAAAATTGGGATATTTACGTTATATTTACATGGATGAATTCTGCAAGAATGTTGAAATAATTTACAATGAAAATGCTGAATTTAAAGAATATTTTGAACATTTTTGTATCGAAAATGTTAATAAAGTTTTGAAACCTTTAAAAAGTATAATTTCTTTTGATGATTAAATTATAAATGGATGAATTTTAAAATTAATAGTTGAGATTATTTGAAAGAAAATGATGGAGCATTCATTTAAACAAATGTTAAAAATATGTAACTTCTAGTTTAAAAAAGTGATAATATTATGTAGATTATTGTAATATTATGTTTCCAATCAACAAGCTTTATGCTTTCATTTAAATTTTTCGAATGCTTATAAACAAATTTTTTCCCAACCTTATCATATTTTCAAGCAGTTTGGAATTTTCTATTTTAAATAGTTAAGAAGTTACAAATGCCTTAGCATATCTTTAATTTTTATTAGAATAGTATTGCTCTTTTATATTGCCGTGATACATGACTAATTCCATGATAATGACCATGTAACGAGGCATCATAATCTATGTCCATTATCTTGTTATCCTTTTCAACCATTATTTATTTAATTAATGTTTGATTGGATGCATAAAAATTCTAATAATTAATTAGTAATACAAAAATTTTGGATTAATTAAACTAATGAATAGTTATTCTTTTTTCTCTTATGAATCATTTTAGTATAAAATTTTTAATCAGTTATTTAATATGTACAACTAAATAATTTTTTTATTTTTTAATAATTCTATATTTGTTTTTTATTCCTATTAATTAAAACCGAGGTTTCTTGATTAAAGCTGAGGTTATACCCGAAAACCCGCAAATTTTTGATGATAAGTGATTCTTAAAAGAATACATACCTCCAAGATAAAAAACTCAAACCTGTAAACCAGGTTTGAAGTAACTGAAAAATATACCTCATACTAGATAACACTGACAAGATTGCGTACTACAGCGTTCAGAAGAATTTATGCATATCATAAGTAATCGCGAAATTTAAAAAGTTGTTGAGCATAGTAAAATTTTTACTCACACTCCCCCACCGGTTATTAAACTGGAGACAAATAATTAAACAATAAATAATTTAGAGTAACTACATCTCATATTCTTCCTTTATATTTAATATTTACTTAGCTTTTTCTACGAAATAATTAATATAATGTTTGTTATAAAATATATTATTATTGTATTTATATCTATATTGTATATTCAATCTTCATTGGAAGGTAGGCAAAATATACATATGTATGATGAATTACTTTAAATTAATAAATTTAAAAAGATTCACTCAATCATATGATAGAAGTAAGCATTAAAGATTTGCATATTTGTCAATTCGAAACGGTTGTAAATAAGGATATATTGAACACAAAAAATTTTTATGAAGTTTTAAATATTTCGATCGAGACTGGGAAAAAATGCTTCGGAAAAGCTAATGAATTAAAAAATATGACAAAAAATATCTGCAATTTCACAAAATATGATAACCATTCAAAAGAGATTCTCTATAATAATGGATCTGAAATAGGTCTGTATGAAGTGGATGGTGAAGCTAAGAGTGCAGAGGTAAAGAATTTGATTTAACAAAGATTTCTTATAATTTTAATTTGGTTGCAGTTTAAGTAACTTTCGAGCTAATTATTCTTAAAGATTTTCGGACAAAGTGTGATAAGAGACACAACTTTCGGAAGGAGTCCTAGTACATTAGTTAATATCATAATCATGCTTGAATAAAGAATTAAAAAAAGAGCCGAGCAAAATTCTTGAAGTTTTAAGTATAATCTTAGAATAATTTGTAAAATTTAAAAAACAGTCTGTAAATGTATGTGATAAACTTATTATTTAATTTTAAATTATTTCCAAATCAAAACTTGAACCCCCTAAATTAACTTTACTAAAACTAGAGAGATCTAAATTCCCTGACTGACTTTGATTAATTTATCAATCCTTGTACGTATCAATCTGGCCTAGTTTTAAATATTTTAACCAAAGCCATGACTTATAAAATTAATTTTAATTCCAGTTTGTTAATTCATCATTCTTTTAAAGGTTATTCTTAGAGATAAAAAGCTTATTAACGATGGGGCTAATGAAATGCAAAGACAACTTTTAGATTTATCATCTAATGGCTTTTATTTCCGAAAATTATTAGTTGTTGGGAAATCCAGATATTTATTTCGGAACACAAGTGGTTTTGTTTTGAGCGGTGTACGTTATCTACGTGCTTATTATTGCGTTCAGGTATATTGTAAAGTGGAAGACGAGTTGTTTATATATAGATATTTTTTAGAAATTAGCCAAAATGATCCAAGATAAATATAGAAAACAAAGTTCTGATACAGCTTCATATGTTAATTAAACAATCACAGGAGTTTGGATTGGAAGTGAGGTATTAAAAATATAAAATATTTTTTCATTAGCCCCAAATATTAAATAAATATTTAATTAAAGGAAATTGTGGATGCTATGAAAAGAGTTGTATCTCTCAAGAATAATCTCTTAAATTACAGCACGATTAAACAATTGAATGATATGAGAAAAAATATAACAGATGGGATAGAAAAAGTGGCGACATTAGAAAATGTTGCAAATAAAAAATATGGAAGGGGTAATTTAACTTTAATCTTTTAATGTTGCTTTAAAAATATTTGATAAAAACAAATTGACAAAGAGTTACGAAAAATATTCTGAATTTTTAGTAGGCTCATCAATGGCATTAGTTGGATATTTTGCTTTGAATAAAAATCAGTTTAATGATAGATATAGCAAATGTAATAGAAACGGCGAACAATGTATCGCTTTCTTTCATATCAGTGCGCATAATGATACTAGGTATATTCTTAGAAGCAATAATGAAACTTTAATCTTAAGAAATCTTAATTATTTAATTTGGTTGAATTCATTTTAATTTTTGGATTATAATTTAAATTTTAAGATAATAATAACCCAATTGCTAAATTTTTATATATTATTTTTTAGAAAATTTATTGAAAAAGGAAAATTAATAAACCGGGGAAAAATTTCTAATCGCTACTAAGATTAATTTTTCCAAATTAAATATGTTTAATAAGGCAAAGATTAAAATAATTAAACTTTATGATTAGTATCTTTGAATTTAGAATAGTACATTAAGATGAATTTATATTCAGATTTGGAATATTAGACGATGATCTTGATCAAGAAAAATTAACGGAAAATTAGTTTATTAATGAATGTATAATTTTAAAATTTGTTAGTAAAATAGTTACTTTTAAATCAACAGTTATAAAATTGAAATAGTTTTGGTTTAAAAAATGAATTCTGTGTATAAATTGTTGTGAATTTAGGGGAAAAGCTGCTTTCCAAAAACCAGTACGTCCAAAGTTCAAAAAGTCTGAAACTTTTTTATGCCGACACTATGATTGTAAACTAGGGTAGCTCCCCGTACCCCGACCGCGACGATTTTTTTTTGGCAAAAACCCCGATCTGAACCCCGAAGGCTCTACTCTGACAAACCCCGATCCCCGCCGCAAACCACGAGTCGTGGTTTTCGAACATTTGTAAATTTCAACAGGTTTAAATATTTATTATACATATTTTACAATATTAATTATTTTTTCCTTTGATATAAAAATAAATAATACATTTATTATCTCCACTACATCTGTTAAATTCTTTCTGATTCTTAAATTTGTCGAACACAATGTAGCCAAAAATTGCCATTGAAGAACTTCCTTTCTCTTTAAAAATAAATTTTTTTACAAAAGTTTTCAAAATGAATTAATGTTTTTACAATTATATCTTACTATTACTCTTGTGGATGAAAGGATTTCTAATAGCTAAGAATCTCTCATCTTCTCTAGTTGAGAGCTAACTAAGTTCTCTTTACTAATTGGGAAAAATACCTCCGTTCAAACTTTCCAACTTTGCGACATTTAATATTCCATTAAAAATATCCTCTCTGAAAGTCCTATTTAATGTTTTATCTTTAATAAGCATATTCTTAGAGCGTGTGACATTTTTCATGCTTTCTTTAATTTTGGGCTTAAATCGAAATTTTTAAATGACTTATAAATTATTATTCTGTTTACATCATTTCGAATCCAGATCCCAGCAATTGTATAATTTATATCAGCTTCTCTCGTTTTAGGCTCACTTTGGTATATTTTAAGCATATTAAGAGTAAGCTTCTGTTTAAAAAATAATGGACATGAATAATACTTTGTTAATAGTTATAGAAATACCTTAATACAATAAATTGCCCTAGCATATCTCACTTCGCGTGAAATAAATCCACTTGTTTTTGTGAAATAATTTTTATTTTTTTGAAATAATTTGCGAAATACTGCTCCATTTTTAGTAGCTTCCAAAAGTTGGCTATATAATTCACTGTTACCTTCTATAATAAGGTCTTCGTTGAAGAGGAATTCCTGTCATATTAGTTAAATAATGCGATTAAAACCTTCCAGCGTGCTTATTGAACCCGTATAGCTTATTGAACCTCAATAACCCTTATTCCAATAGGTGGTAAGAAACAATATAGCCAGGAACCAATACATATAGTCATAATCTTTATCATAACAAAACGCATCAAAAAACACTAATAAATATTTTTTATTTAGTTATTTTAAATTTATAATTAGAGATTGGACCGAAACTGAATCCCTTTTAGGCCACCGATTTTCATATTAATTTGCAATTGACCCATAAGTCCTTTAATAATTAAACTTACAGATGCAACATTATTTTTATTCCGATCCACTTCATATAGACCTAATTCCACACCATTCATTTCTAAATTTTCCTTCGTGTTTTTATATTTTTTAACAATACAATTGTCATTTATTTTTAAACATTTGTTTATTTCATATTTCGCTTCTTCTATAGCATCTTCAAGTTCAATTTCTTCCATGTCTTGATTTTTAGTTTGGGGTTCTATTTTTTCGATTTCACATAATTTGGTTAGTTCTTCTTTTGATATTGTAAAAACCTCGTCTAGATGACGTACTAAATAATAATCATCTTTTGTATCTAGCATATATTAGACTCAATAGGTTACCGCACCTTTTGATTTTTTATATCCCTGATTTATACAGTAACTCAAAGACTGTTAGCCAAACGAGTTGGTATAGTTAACGGAGTAAGTAAAGGAATTAACTAAAAAGTTATTTTAGATTCTAAGTATGTAAATATGAACAGTCGAGTAACTTTAAGATGTAAATTCCTCACGAAATAGAAGTCAATTATAGAATTCATTATATTTAACTACCTTTAACCAGATTAACTTCCTCCAGTCTTTCATCATTTCCCTCTGCCTGCAATTCTTCGTCGTAGATCTCCATATTTGATTCATTGATCTCTCGACTGATTAAATTATTTTTTATAAATTAGATAAAAAGTCGGGCTTTTTAGTTTTATCTTCGTAAAGGCTCGCAAAATTTATCCGTTAACAAAAATGAATGAAATACAATTTATTTTATTCATTTATAGCTCTCAATTCCCTTCTTTATTTAAAAAATTTTCTAAATTTTCCCAAAATTTAAAAAAATCCAAAATCCTTACTTATAAATAATTTCCTCAATTTTCTTTGTAAAATTTTTTGCCACAAAGAAAGTTTGACTAGCTATTTCATCTGTCTCATTATAATAATCATAATAATCAACAATTGTCCCGTTTTCATTGTCTATATCCGTGTATAAATTTTGACTTTCATTTATATTTTTGTCCTCAATTCTTTCAAAACTTCCTGTTATGTTTTCTTTTTCCTTAAAAATAATAAAAGTATTCAATGAGTTATCAAGACCCGATCATAAAAAATACCTCTCTAATCTTGTTGTTTCTAGTTTGGGTTCTATTTTCATGCACTTTTGTTGTTGGCTTTATAGTTGTTGTGTTTGAAGCCTTAATTATTGTTTGTTAATATTCAATGCTATTTAAATTTTTTAAAAATATTTTTTAAATATTTGGAATTATAATAGACAAAATCTTGTAAAATTACAAAATCTTGTAAAATTTTTTGCCACAAAGAAAGTTTGACTAGCTATTTCATCTGTCTCATTATAATAATCATAATAATCAACAATTGTCCCATTTTCATTGTCTATATCCGTGTATAAATTTTGACTTTCATTAATATTTTTGTCCTCAATTCTTTCAAAACTTCCTGTGATGTTTTCATTTTCCTTTAAAAATTAAAGTATTTAATGAGTTATCTCGACAAAATCACAAAAAATACCTCTCTAATCTTGTTGCTTTTAGTTTGGGTTCTATTTTCATGCACTTTTGTTGTTGGCTTTATAGTTGTTGTGTTTGAAGCCTTAATTATTGTTTGTTAATATTCAATGCTATTTAAATTTTTTAAAAATATTTTTTAAATATTTGGAATTATAATAGACAAAATCTTGTAAAATTACAAAATCTTGTAAAATTTTTTGCCACAAAGAAAGTTTGACTAGCTATTTCATCTGTCTCATTATAATAATCATAATAATCAACAATTGTCCCATTTTCATTGTCTATATCCGTGTATAAATTTTGACTTTCATTAATATTTTTGTCCTCAATTCTTTCAAAACTTCCTGTGATGTTTTCATTTTCCTTTAAAAATTAAAGTATTTAATGAGTTATCTCGACAAAATCACAAAAAATACCTCTCTAATCTTGTTGCTTTTAGTTTGGGTTCTATTTTCATGCACTTTTGTTGTTGGCTTTATAGTTGTTGTGTTTGAAGCCTTAATTATTGTTTGTTAATATTCAATGCTATTTAAATTTTTTTCAAAATATTTTTTAATATTTTGAATTATATGTAGTAGACAAGTTCAGATTAATTCATTTTAGTTTTACCCCGTTAATACCTCCCCCTGTCTTTAAAATTTATTCAACAAATATGTACAATTATTATTAAAATATGAAGTTGAGTAAGATTTAAGGGAAATTAATTGAATTTTTTAGTTAATTTTTTTAAATTAATTTTTTTCCCAGCTAATTTTTTGCCGAGTAAATACAAACTATTATTATTAGTAAATTTAGGCCCGGCTCTTTTTTTGGTGATATAAAACTTTTTAAGAATTAAACTCTCATATTTGTTAGCAAAATCTAAGTTTTAATTCTATTAATTCTATATCTTAGTTTACCTACATTTGAACTCATTCTAACAGTTATATTCACCATTCTATTTGTTAGTTTTGCTTTCTTTAAAGTTTTATTTAAATTCGTATTTTTGGTTCCATTACTAATTTTATTATTAGCAATAATTGTTTTATTTCTCATTCCAGGTTGAATTGGATTTTTTGTAATAGTACTTATATTAAGCTTTTGTTTGTTAGTCAAAGTTTTATTTGAAGTTTCGAATCTTTCTTTTGGCTTTTTCGTTGTATTAAATAACAGAATTTTTGTACGTTTTTGAGGTCTAAACTTTTTTATAGTTTTTGTGACATTTATTTTTGTTGTTGTATTTTTAGTTGGTAAGATGCTTTTCTTTCCTTCAATATTTACTGAACAATTTAATAAGTAAATGATTGTTAATTGAATTAATATCAACGAATAAAAATTCATTTTATTTGAATAAATAATTTTTAAATATTACTTAATACTATAATTGGAACTAGACGCTCAAATATTTACTAGTTATATTAAAGTGTGAATCACGTTATAAATTTATAAATTATTAAATTAATTAGTTCAGATTTTTATAGAATAATTAATTGATGTTAATTTCCGGTTCCATTTCCTCGTTCTTGCTTAATAAATGAATAAAAATGGGCAGACTTAACTAAAACACATAAATAAAACAAGCATAAAAACAAATAAACCTTAAAATAAAATAACTTAAATATTTCTATTTCTAGATTTCAATAAATAAATGAAAAATTAAAGCATGAATATTTTAAATATATTGGATTAAATGTTTGTAACTTTTATATTTCTGTTGAATGTTAGTCATATTTTGTTTTTAAGTTTTATATTTCAAAAAAAAACAAAATATTGCAAAAACTTCATCACAAAGTAAGAAACTGCCATTTATGAACTGTTTGCTTCTCACAAATGATCCATTAACAAAAACAGGGTTTTAATTAAGTTTACTTTTAATTAAATAATAATTTAATTAATTAAGTGTTTAACCTTTAAACCATTAGGATATTGAGTGTAAGGGGTAAATTGTGAGTTTGAAAGTGGGATCGGAAAATGATCATGACAGTAAGAATCGAGGGCCCCACACATGTCTTAATAATTTCTAATGTAAAACTTTTACAATTTCTATTTTAATTTAAAAATTTAAATTAATTATTGAATAAATTTTTTCAGTCAATTTTCCTCATCAGTTGTCCACGCATATAAATTTATTTATTGCCTGTTAATTGATTTTAAATCTAGCTTTGCCGACGAGTCTAATTAACGTTAATAAAATTATTTATTTTAAATTTTATTTAAATAAATATTATATAATATAGAAATTCACTTTTAAAGCATTACTTTATGTAATTAAGCATTATATCCGGGGAAGGCAGATTATTTAGTTTCTCAATTTGTTTATGCATAACCTCTTTAAAAGTTTATGAAAATTGAAAAATTATGAAATTTATAGAAACATAAAGTAGATTAAATGAGTTTTTAATAAAAAGGACCAATTAAATCTTCGACTTATCGCCGTTGTCCAGATATCGGATTTGGATATCAAAAGAGTTCCCGGAATTTCTAACCTTAATTAAGTAAACAAAAATCTAATTACAACAGGCTAGATATATTTTAAGTAAATTATTAGATTGAGCCGGTCTAATAGAAACGTCAGTTCAACTTGAGCTTCAACTTGAGCTCCGATTCTCTCTCATAGGGAAGCTTTATTCTATACGGCCGTTCAAATAGATACGGGGTCTCAATAGCAGAAAACGCGGCATTGCTATTACTTGGTGCCATAAAATTGTTTAAATGTTTCAAATTTTCGATAAAGCTGAGGCGAGTGAAGCTGAGGCGAATGACAAAATTGACACCGAACTTGCCGCCTATTGCATAAGACTTTAATTTCATATTTTTTAATCATAAACAAATGTCTTTGTAAATATTTTGAATATCATTTTGAAATCGCCTAGTCGATTCTTTTCCTTAATAATTAAGAAATCTAATATTTTTAGTTTGTTTATTTTATAATTAATATTTTATAACCCACCATTCAGAGGCATGCACTTCAGGGGTGTGCCGAAACGGATTTTAAAAAGCGAAACGCGAAAGGCGAAATTAAATTTAAAAAGTGAAACGCGAAATGCGAAACGCGAAAGTAAATTTAAAAAAGCGACACGCGAAACGCGAAACGCGAAAGTCCAAAAAACGCGAAAATCCGCGAAAGGCGAAACGCGAAATTCTTACAATTTTCCGATACGCTGAAAAATCTTTAGGGATTTATCAACTCAGTGCTTTGTTCCAAATCAAAGCTTCAACTGAATCTTACAATCACCATTAGGATTTTGACAGGCATCCGGGATATCAAGGGATTTGAGGGGATATCAGACATAAACCAGGTTCCATCCTTTATTTTATATCCTATATTTCAGGATATTCAGAAGTCCGTACCTCGCTTTGAAAACATTTCAGTAGAATAGAAGTGGAATTTTAGTGGTTTACGTTTTGGTATTTGTGTGGATTAAGAGGGAATCAGGAGTATTTAGGTAAATTCCGAAGGATATGGAGGATTTGAGTGATAGTGGATCTAGGGGAATATCGGGCGACAAACTTATGTCAAGGTTCTTCCATTTTGAGAATTATGGTAAACCAAGGCTCCAGATTTTTTCCTCTTCTTGCGCCGCTGGCGAAAATTTTGAGAATTTTGGAAGTTTACAATTTATTCGGGCCTCATTTTTCTCCAACTTTACCATCTTTCACCTGTCATTAGGGGTGTATAAAACTTTCGCATTTCGCGCAAAAAGCGAAACGCGAAATGCGAAAGTAAATTTAAAAAAGCGACACGCGAAATGCGAAAGTCCAAAAAACGCGAAAATCCGCGAAAGGCGAAACTCGCACACCCCTGATGCACTTTGTCATTTTTCT